GCCTTGAGCTGAAGAGCTGAGGGACAGCGCCCAGGCCCAGAGTTCAAACCCCACAACCGACAAAAAAAAAAAAAAAAAAAAGACTAGCAATGGGATGGGGAATGGGGGTGTGTGTGTGGAGGGGTGGGGGTGGGGGGCGTCGCCAGTAGCATTCTCTTCCTTTACAATGCATCCTGGTTGGTCTCCACAGTGACCTTGGGGTCCAAGGGTGGCTCAGGCCCCCCTGTCTACGTGGATCTCGCCTACATCCCCAATCACTGCAGCGGCAAGACCGCTGACCTTGACTTCTTCCGCCGAGTGCGCGCATCCTACTACGTGGTCAGTGGGAATGACCCTGCCAATGGCCAGCCAAGCCGGGCTGTGCTGGATGCCCTGTTGGAGGGCAAAGCCCAGTGGGGGGAGAATCTTCAGGTGAGTAGCAAGAGATGCCAAGGAAGGAAGGGTTTGTGTCCAAGCTCTCTGAGAGCCAGTAGTGGGACACAGCTTACATAACTATGAAAAGCCGGGGCTCCTTTTCTGGGGGTCAGCGGGGTCTGCTGTTCCTGTGCCCTGCTTACCTTTTCTACATGTTCTCACCTAGGCCTGTCTTGTCTCCCTCCGTAGGTGACTCTGATCCCCACTCATGACACAGAGGTGACTCGTGAATGGTACCAGCAGACTCATGAGCAGCAGCAGCAACTCAACGTCCTGGTCCTGGCTAGCAGCAGCACTGTGGTCATGCAGGACGAGTCCTTCCCAGCCTGCAAGATTGAGTTCTGAAAGAACCCACTTCCCTTCCCCCAAGGATCCGCTCCCCCAGCTCCTTTAGAGAATGGCTACTGCTGAAGTCCTCTGGGGTTGAGGGAGAAGAGAGGTTGGGGAGGGGGGTGTGGGGTGGGGTGGGTGAGGTGTTATGGGGATTTGGGCTGGGCTAAATGGGAGGTGGTGTTCCTCTCTCCCATCTGTTCCCCGAAGGGTCTGAAAACCAAAGGTCACAGGGATAAGGGAGAGGGTATAAAACTCAGATAGGAGGTCATCTGATGCCTGAGAACCCTGCAGTGATACCCTCTCCCGGCACTGCCAAATGCTGGTACTGGATGAGAAATGAGGGTGTGTCTGAGAAAGCCACCTCCTTCTTCGTGGAGGGAGGCCATATCCCCCCCCCCAAATCCCTTTAATCTCTATTTATTTAGCATCCTGGGAAGGAATGTCAGTAAGTTATAGGATACTGTCAGGTAGGTGCCCAGAGCTGCACCCTTTCCTCCATCTCCCATCCCCAGGGTCTAGGTTCCGCTAGGGACCCCGGGGGTACACCGCTGCTATGCTGTCCTGTTGCTTCCCTCGGTATCTGAATGTCTCGATCCAAAACTTGAAGCTCTTTAGACCAACAGACTGGTGAGAGGAGAAAGGAGTTCGATCTCCCAGACCCTGCTTCATACCATTCATATCCCCGAGCGGCGCCCAGACCAGGCCAACTGGGCAGCACCAAAGGGCAAGGACAACCCCAGCCCCAAATCCCAGAGCTCTTTCCAGTTCCCTGGCCTGCTGGAGTTTTCACCCACCCCATTCCAGTTAACTTGATCCCTTTTCATCCCCTGCTTGGCTTCTCTGCATGTAGTCATCTGCTGAGGCCTGGTGTGTAATGGGTTAAATAAGCCACTGCCTGACATCCCAACATTTTGACACCTCAGCCTTGTGTGACTCCCCCAAACATCCCCCTCTGCCATCTTGCAGCTGAAATGGGAAAGCTGTCTCCTGCAAACCCAAACTCCTGGACAGACCATCTGGGAGATAAAGAGGCCAGGCCAGAGGACTTGGGGAAAAATGAGAGGGAGGAAGAGAAAAGGGAGATGAAGTTGAGCTACAGCTTAACTCCTACAGAGCAAAGGGCAAAACGTGCTGAAAACACCACTCCAGGAGAGGCCCTCGCCCCAAGCAAGCCAGCAAGCAGCCCCGCCACACCACTGCTGGACTGAGACCCAGACGCTGATAAGACCTCAGGGTTTTCCTTCTCTGCCAAGCTGACTGGGAAACCAAACAGCCCACCTGTGTTCCTCCTAGCTCCCACCCTTCCCGCGCTGCCGTGCTCTGCTCCGCCCCACACTTCCCTGCTATCGCTCCCAGCTGCTGTAACAGAGCCGCCTCCGAGTCTAACAATAAATCAAATCCATTGCAGATGGTGTCGTACTGTTGGCATTTTTGGACTCCACACATTGCTTAGTTGCTGGGCCCTGCCTCCCACCTCTCTGCTTCAACCAGCATTGTCATCTTGGAAGACTCCTTTTCGCTACTAGCAGTGGTTTCAGACAACATAGCCAGGGTGGATAATACGAGAAAGGAGAGAGACGGCAGGCAGGCAGTATGACTGGGAACCTAGAGTGGGAATGTTCATTTGGTTGAGGAAAGAGAACCCTCCTGGGACAGGGACCTGCATTCCAGGAGTCAAGAGCTAAGGACTAATAAAAAGGATATGAGCCGGGCGCCGGTGGCTCACGCCTGTCATCCTAGCTACTCAGGAGGCTGAGACCTGAGGATTGAAGTTCAAAGCCAGCCTGGGCAGGAAAGACCGTGAGACTCCTCCTATCTCCAATAAACCACCAGAAAACCGGAAGTGGCGCTGTAGCTCAAGTGGTAGAGCGCTCACCTTGAGCCGAAGAGCTGAGGGACAGCGCCCAGGCCCAGAGTTCAAGCCCCATGACCAACAAAAAAATTTAAAGAAAAGGATATGATACTCTGGACAGGGGGAGGGGGACGCTAAAGAGGTAAAGAGTAGACAGGCCCTAAGACAGCTAGAGATAATTGGTACTAGAAACACCATATCAGATGGTGCTGTGCCATAGGAGGTACCTTCTAGGATGCCATGTATCTATAGTTTTATAACCCATTCCTGCTCAGCTATAGTCAGTCACAGACACAACTGGCTCACATTTATGGTCATTCTTAAATTCACAAGGACACCATCACCACCGTCATTCTCATTATTTCATGTTTATTGAGCACTCATAACGTTCCGGCCCCAGATTCCAATGACTGACTGCATCAACCCTCCTACCTACCCTTACTCCCATCCCTACGTCTTTGGGAAAAGCTTCATAAATCACATCTGGTCCTAAAGACACATGATAAAAGGACATATTTCTTGGGGACTCTGGAGTGTTTGGTCTTTGGCCAGTCTGTCCCTGGCAAACTACAGAAATATATATATATATATATATGTATGTATATATATATTAAATCTTTGTTCATGTCTGTACAATATTCATCTCTGCTAACTGCTTAAAACAGAACCTGATTCTCTTTTCTCCAGCATCTTCTAAGCCAGTCTGCCCCACAATAACAGGTGGCCCAACTTCACACACATCGACCCCAGAGAGTTATAAGTAGTTACTCTGAAGTTGCAACAGACTCCAATACCCATTCATCCCTAGAGCAACTTTCCAGAAGACCAGGACTAGGGCAGAGGGGCACTTGGACATGACATGGAAATACTCATAAGTCCAGTCTGAAGATGAGTGGGCAAGAGTGGTGTTTGCTTGGGAAGGGATCTCTGTTTTCTAGATGTTTCTGATGGCCATCTTGGACCTACCTGAGGAGTGCTAGTAAAGACAAGAGCCCTCTGAATGCACAGGTCATCCAAAAGGGGCCTCGAGAAATTGTATACATGTCTCTCAGAAAGGTAAAGACCTTGAAGCCTTCTTCTTAAGCCTTTGCTGTCCACCCCCAATGGTGTCGTCAGCAGTTAAGTGGCATTTCCTTTAACAATCTAGGATTTCTGTGATGCTCAGAGTAGGTTAGGAAATGGCAGGCCAGTACCACTCCAAGGAAACCCTATTCAAGTTTAATGGCTAAGAGCCAATGGCAACTTGGAACATGAGACTGGCTCGACCTCTGAGCACACCATCAGCACAGGTATGCTTCATGCCAAGAGGACTGTTTCGTCAGACACCTCTGGTGTGAGTTGAGTCAAAGCCTCGCACTGGCCAGTGAGTGAGCCAACAGAAAAGGTTGCTGGCTCAAATGACTGGTATAGTGTGACATCCGTAGTGAGAAAATGATTAATTACATGTTGCTGGTGGAAGGGGTAAGTGTTGGTCATGGGCTCCAGCCTGGCTTTGAGGGTTTGGATCACTAAGCAGACACTGAGCTTGGGGAACATCCTCTTTAGGCAGCTGATCAGTTACTTCGGGGATCACCCAAGCCTGCTGATTAACTTCCTCGGGAACCGCCTGGGCCTGCTGGTCACTCTCTTCAGGGAGTTCGTGGGGAGCGTTAACCTCAGGGATATCTTGAGATAACAGACTGATTGCAGAAGCTTCCTCGGCCAGCCTGCCAACTTCCACTGCAAAGGCCTGCTGTGGATGGCTGAGCTCTTCAAGGATCTCTTGGGCGGGTCTGCTAACTTCCGCAAGGGTTTCATGTTCCAGGGCCCCACCCCCTGCAGGGAACCCATGGAGTAGCATGCTAACGTCCACAGAGACCTCCTGGCATGGCTGGCGGATTTCCTCAGCAACCTTCTGGGCTTTTGGCTGGCTCGTTTCTACGGGTAGCTCCTGAGAGGACTGGGTTGGTTCCAAAAGGTCTTGCTGTCTTTCCATGGGAAACTCTTGCATTCCATTCCCAGGGGCCTCCTGGAGCAGCCCAAAGCCTTGGTTTTCTTCAGTCGCATGTGCGTTTAGGGAGGTATGATCACTAAAGCCAAAATGGGAGTTGCCATCCACTGCAGTAGGGGAGGAAGGACCAGCACTGGACACAGTGCTGGAAGGGCCGCTGCTATCTGTAAAGCAAAGTTGGGAGGCCAAGTCATACAAGCTGGAAGAGTAGGCTCTGCCTATACAAAATTTTCAAATGCTAGAACAGATAGTCTGTACTGCTCTTGGTTTGGGGGGGAAAGGGTGTGAATTAGTTCTGAGTTTGGCAGGTTCCTGAATTTGCCCAACTCAGGAACTGTCACACTAGCCTCATGTATAGAAGAGGACTAGCTCTAAGGCTCACTTAAGATTCAGGAGTGAGCGTGATCTACTTTATTCTCCCCCCTCCTTCCCCATACACAAATATACTCCTGTCCCACCATGATTCCTGATTCCTACTTTCCTGTATATGAACAGGATAGCCTAGCACTTCATAATCAGGGCTATATGACAAAATTGTAGCCTTCTGGGGGTGGGGGCGGGTCATGGGGCTTGAACTCTGGGCTTGGGTGTTGTCCCTAAGCTCTTCAGCTCAAGGAGAGCGCTCTACCACTTGAGCCACAGCGCTACTTCCTGTCTTCCGGTGGTTTATTGGAGGTAAGAGTCTCACGGATTTTTCTGTCTGGGCTGGCTTTGAACTGCGATCCTCAGATCTCAGCCTCCTGAGTTGCTAGGATTACAGACATGAGCCACCAGCGCCTGGCTTTTTTTTTTTTTTTTTTAATCAAATTACCAGGTTCCTTCTCGGGAGGGCGATGAGAGGACGGGAGGATGAGGGCAACATCATTTCCCTGAAACACTTGTAATTGAATCGGATACAAACCTTTTGTTAGGAATCATTCTTTAAAGAAATCTGTGTATTTCTCTTATTTGTATTCTGAGAGATAACTAAACAACAGAATGTAGGAAAACTTGGTAAGTCAGAACACTAGGGAATAAATGGTTTACCTGAAAATAAAAGACTTGTCATGGAATCTCCAAATAATAAGGGGAGGGGGGGGTCAGTCGTGGGGCTTGAACTCAGGACCTGGGCACCGTCTCTAAGCTTTTTTGCTCAAGGCTACTGTTCTATCACTTTGAGCCACAGCGCCACTTCTAGGTTTTTTGGTTGATACTGGAAATAAGAATCTCATGGAATAGGGCTGGGAAGGTGGCTCAGTGGTAGAGCGCTTGCCTTGCATGCATGAGGCCCTGGGTTCGATTCCTTAGCACCACGTAAGCAGAAAAATCCAGAAGTGGCACTGTGGCTCAAGTGGTAGGGTGCTAGCCTTGAGCCTTGAGCTGAGGGACAGTGCCCAGGCCAACCAACAACAAAAAAAAAAGAATGTCATGGAATGGAAGTGGCGCTGTGGCTCAAGTGGTAGAGCGCTAGCCTTGAGCTGAAGAGCTGAGGGACAGCGCCCAGGCCCAGAGTTTAAGTCCCACAACTGACAAAAAAAAAAAAAAAAGAAAAGAAAGAATCTCATGGAGTTTCCTGTCCTGGCTAGCTTCAAGCTGCAATCCTCAGATCTTGGCCTCCTGAGTGCTAGGAATACAGGTGTGAGCCCCCAGACCCCAGCTCAGAATATTTTGTTTGGTTTTGGTTTTTATTTTCCATCAGTTGTGGGGCTTGAACTCTGGGCCTCAGCTCTGTCCCTCAGTTCTTCAGGTCAAGGCTAGCACTCTACCACTCGAGCCAAAGCACCACTTCCGGTTTTCTGGTGGTCAATTGGAGGTAAGAGTCTCATGGACTTTTCTGCCCTGGCTGGCTTTGAGCCACAACCTCAGATCCCAGATTCCTGAGTATTAGTATCATGCTAGTGGCATGAGCCACTGGCGCCTGGTGTTAGAAGTTCTTAACTGGAAGCCGGGCGCTGGTGGCTCACGCCTGTAATCCTAGCTACTTAGGAGGCTGAGATCTGAAGATTGAAGTTCAAAGCCAGCCCGGGCAGGAGAGACCGTGAGACTCCTATCTCCAATAAACCACCAGAAAACCGAAGTGGCGCTGTAGCTCAAGTGGTAGAGCGCTAGCCTTGAGCTGAAGAGCTGAGGGACAACGCCCAGGCCCAGAGTGCAAGCCCCACGACCAACAAAAAACAAAACAAAACAAAAAAAAGTTCTTAACTGGACTGTGGAGAGAAGTTACTGATCCCTTTGAGGCACTAGTAAAAGTCATGAATTATTGAAAATACTCATACGAATCTTTACATATGATTCCTGAGCTTCACCGGCTATATCAGAAATCCACCCCCAAGGTTAACCTAAGGTTTAGGTCCTCTAGATCGTAGAACATAAAGTGCTACAGGACTACACATATATATCTGTTTTTTCAATCGGTCATGGGGCTTGAACTCTGGGCTTGAGCGCTGTCCCTGCACTCTTCAGCTCAAGGCGAGCACTCTACCACTTGAGTCACAGCACCACAGCACCACTTCCAGTTTTTGAGTGGTTTACTGGAGATAAGAGTCTCACGCTGCCGGGCGCTGGTGGCTCACACCTGTAATCCTAGCTACTCAGGAGGCTGAGATCTGAGGATCACAGTTCAAAGCCAGCTCGGGCAGGAAAATCCATGAGACTCTTATCTCCAATAAACCACTAGAAAACTGGAAGTGGTGCTGTAGCTGAAGTGGTAGAGCGCTCGCCTTGAGCTGCGGCACGCAGGGACAGCGTCTAAGCCCAGAGTTCAAGTCCTACGACCAACCAAAAAGAAAAAAAAAAGAGTCTCATGGACTTTCCTGCCTGGGCTGGTCTGAACCTCGATCCTCAGATCTCAGCCTCCTGAGTAGCTAGGATTACAGGCGTGAGCCACCGGCTCCTGGCTTCAGGACTGCAGATATTATATACAAAACATGAGCCAGTGGGCTGAGAATGTGGCTTAGTGGTAGAGTGCTTGCCTAGCATGCATGAAGCCCTGAGTTCAATTCCTTAGTATGACATAAACAGAAAGAACTGGAAGTGGCACTGTGGCTCAAGTGGTAGAGCTTTAGCCTTGAGCATAGAGAGGCTCAGGGACAATCCTTGAGTTGAAGCCACAGGACTGGCAGAAAGAAAGAAAGAGAGAGAGAAAGAGAGAGAGAGAGAAAGAAAGAAAGAGAGAAGGAAGGAAGGAGAGAGAGAAAGAAAGACAGAAAGAAAGAAAGACAGACAGACAGACAGAGTAAACCTGGTTAGAAAAGTCTGGGAGAGACTCCATCTCTAATTAACCAGCAAAATACTAAACTAGAGGTGTGGCTCAAGTGGTAAAGTACTAGCTAGTGAAAAAGAAAGCTAAGTGTTAAAGACCTAGAGTTCAAGTCCTGATACTAGCACAAAAAAGGATGGAAGGAAGATAGACAAAACAATAAAAAATATTGAAATGTTCAACATCTTTAGCCATATATGCAAATCAAAACCATGCTAAGATTCCATCTTAGCTAGGTGTTGGTGGCTCATGCTTATAATCCCAGCTGCTCAGGTGGCTGAGATCTGGAGGACAGAATTACTGGAAAGGAGGTGGAGCTGTGGCTCAAGTGGCAGAGCACTAGCTTTGAGCATAAAAATTGAGGAACAGCTGGGGCCCATGGCTCACGCCCATAATCCTAGCTACTCAGGAGGTTGAGATCTGAGGGTCACGGTTCAAAGCCAGGCCAGGCAAAAAAATCTGTGAGACTCTTATCTCCAATAAACCAGCGGAAAACTGGAAGTGGTGCTGTGGCTTAAGTGGCAGAGTGCTAGCCTTAGGCTGAAGAGCTGAGGGACAGCGCCCAGGCCCTGAGTTCCAGCCCAACAGACAAAAAAATAAAACAAAAACATTTTTTTTAATAAAATAAAATTTCTAATAAAAAAAGAAAAAAACAACCCAACCTGTTGAGATTGTTTTAATGGGAGGAGAGGGGTGAGTAAGGAAGAATGACAGAATACATTGTATGCATGTGTAGAAAGGTCGGAATGAACCCCTCCCCTTTGTACAAACTGATATATGCTAATAAAAGAAGACTAAAGATCTTACAGAGTTCAACTTCTGTATGCCACAGGATAATTCCAACCCCTGTCTCTTCTTCTTTGACCTCTAGTAGGCAAGTAGCCTGCTTCCTCCCTCCCTCCTTTTTTCTTTTCAGCATTGGGTATTTGAACTCAGGACCTCTTGCTTGCTTAGCTGGTACAATACTACCAAACCATGCCCTTATTTTCCCGTGTGCAAGTGTCATATTTATAGATGGTATTTTAACTATATATTAAAGTACTATGGTATCAATAAAGACAAATTTAGAAAACAACAGACAAATAGGAAAGTTGCAAGTTCTAAACTTGCAATTTCTCTCTCTCACTCTCTTTCTTTCTCTCTCTCTCTCTCTTTCCTTCTCCATTTCCCTCTCCCTTTCCTTCCCCCTTCAAGAAAAGAAGAGGCATGTTTCAGAGAAAAGAACATGGTTTGGGCTGACAGATTCAAAAGACATGGAGAATGTTTCTTGTATAGACAGGCCAACTAAAAGAAAATGTTTCCCAATGAAAGGCTGAGAAAAAAAATGAAAGAAAATGAAAAACTGCAAGCTCTGTCTCCCTATTATAAAATTTGTCTTTTGGAGTCAGAAGTGACTCATGCCTGTAATCCTAACTACTCAGGAAACAGATCTGAGGATCTGTTGAAGCCAGCCCAGGCAGGACAGTCTATGAGATTTTTATCTCCAATTAACCACCAAAAAAAAAAAAAACCCAAAAAACAAATGGGGCCGGGAATGTGGCTCAGCAGTAGAGTGTTTGCCTAGCATGCATGAAGCCCTGGGTTCAGTACCACATATATAGAAAAGGTTGGAAGTGGTGCTGTGGCTCAAGTGGTAGTGTCCTGGGCTTGAGCAAAAAAAGCTCGGGGACAGTGCCCATGCCCTGAGTTCAAGCCCCAGGATTAGCACACACACACATTCACATACATACATACACAATTTGTCTTTGTATTCAGTTGGTAGTCTCATTCACGTAAATCAAAGAGTCAGAAAGAAACAGAAGAGGGAGAAGTGTAAGCCTTTTCATACATACTCCAGGAGAGAAATAAAAGGGGCAAAGACCAGGTAAATGTGGGACAATCTGAACCCTTGGGAATCAAGTAGAGTACCAGAAGGCAGCAAACTTGTACAACAGCTGATCGTGATGCTGAAATACGAATCTTTGCTTTGGCCTGTCTGAGTAAAGTAAAGGCATGTTTGATTTCAGTCTTTCCCTAGAAGCAGGGTGATAAAGAAAGGATTTTTCCTCACTAGTGCTTCACCTGTATCCCTACCTCCCATTACCACTGGTATCTCTTCTTCCCTGGAGTGGTCATTTCTCTGACAGCTACATAACCCAAACTGGCTATGAACTCATGCTCCTCCTGCTTCTGACTCCTGAGTGCTGGAATTACCGGCATGAGCTACCACTGACAAGTCTTCGTCCTTTAACTCTCATTTTCCTTCCTGTTATGCAACAAGTCTCTCACCTACCGATCTCTCTATCCGTTTTGATCTTTGTCTAGATAGTTACAAAGGTTTACTTACACCAAGGGGGCTTCTCTGAGCGCTGCCGGAGTTGCAGGGGAGGTGAATGAAGAGTACGGGGTGGGGAAAATGGGCTGTCTGAGGCCTGGTTGCTGTGCATACAGTCAAAGAGGGCTGTGTAGGTAGAGAACAAAAACAAATGAAGAAGAATCCAGGAAGTACAGATTCTCAACGACAAGTCAAAGTCAACCTACCTTTCCTCCAACTGGAAAGCAGCATATCCTGGGGACCCTTGCCCAAACTATTTTCAACTTAAAAAAAAAAAAAAGTAGTTGACAAGCCGGGTGCTGGTGTCTCACACCTGTAATCCTAGCTACTCAGGAGGCTGAGATCTAAGGATCAGAGTCTCAAAGCCAGCCCTGGCAGGAAAGTCAGTTAGAGTCTTATCTCAAATTAACCACCAGAAAACCGGAAGTGGCGCTGTGGCTCAAGTGGTAGAGTGCTAGCCTTGAGCTAAAGAGCTGAGGGATAGTGCCCAGGCCCAGAGTTCAAGCCCCAAGACCAACAACAACAAAAAAAAGTAGTTGAGGAAGTGGCGCTGTAGCTCAAGTGGTAGAGCGCTCGCCTTGAGCTGAAGAGCTGAGGGACAGCGCCCAGGCCCAGAGTTCAAGCCCCACGACCGACCA